TTATCCATTTTTTAGTCTCGGCCCCTTCTGGACTCCAAACAACAAAAAAGTGTTATTGTTGCTGTATGTGTGTTTGATGTATAAATAGGCAACAGTTTGCTAATGCGTTCTACATAACAACTTCATAATGTTGTCAGTGTCGTGTCCACCTCCTTTTCCACTGCGTGAAAGTGGTCAAAAGAAGGAAATAGAATCCCAAAACGCTTTTGGACAGGTGGTATGTCCTATTTACGATAATCCAGAATTAGCTTAAAATGGCACTAAAACATACTTGAATCACTCTGCAATATATTTGTATTGAATCCCATGGACACATCTTCTCATATATATCTTATATGAATTAACCATCATGAATAATCCACTGTTTATTCCTGCTGTATAAATAGTCAATCAAAAAAGCAACATTGTCGTATACGACAGAATCAAGACTCATTATCTTGATAATAAGGAACAAGTGCAAGATAATTGTATTTTCAACAACTGGAAGAAGCTGAAGCGTAATTAAAGCTTCAGAGTTTCATTAGATGGCAGATGGTAGAATAAGTGAAAAGCTTAAGAATCACTTCCAACATATTCATCCTCTTGAGTAAAACATTCTAAAAAATGTGCAGGAAAGAGGAGGAGGAGTGACAAGTCGCAACGCCGCTTTACCGCTGTAAGTAATGAGGTTTTTTATGGAAAATGTGATGTTCATTTAGAGAAGCACTACAGTAACAAGACGAGCAGCATGAGACCTTACAGCGATCCTCTCGGCCGTGATTCCATTTGTGTGGGTTATTTACTGCTGGGCCTCTGAAGCGATCGTATGCAATCTTTAATGTTTGTTCCTCAAGATCCAGTCTGAAAGTGTTATCGTTTCACGAGAGTCCGCTTGGTCTCAAACTCCTCGAGTTGTATCTTTTGAAAAAGTTGCGCCGTCTTGAGTTCTCGTCTGATATTTCTCAAGGAGCTTAACTTCTTCATTTCAACATCACGCTCTTCATTTCATCATCGACATTCAAGCCTTTCATCCGTCCTATATTTGACCATTTCCATTCAATATTGGCTGATTGATAAGCAAGAATGCTAAACATGTTTCAGTTGGGAACTTGCGTCTTTAAGAACAGAGGAAAGCGCAAATTGTCACGTCCGAGAAGCGGTGCTAATCTGGTTGTCTCGTGTCTACGTTGTCTCGTGAATTGCTGTTTAATTTTGAAAACTAACCTTCCTCTCGTTTCAACTTGCTCAGCCCAGTGTTTAGTTTCTAGATCCTTTTTGTTCTCAGACTTAGGGATTAGGGTTTTTTCCTCTACAAGGAGTGATTTTCATTTGCTGCCTTTTGTCAATAAACTTTGATTTTTGACCGTCGCCTTAGGAGTTGTGCATTTGGTTTCAGGGCCATTGTCCGGTCGTGACACAAACGATACTGGATCAACCCGATATGTGTTAACTAAACGCGTTACTGTGTTTTATTTTATGCTTCAGGGGTATGTGGGTTAATTCCATGTTTGTTTCATTACAGGGTGAAAACATTAACCTCACTATTCGTCACTGTGCAGCAACTGCTTTGTCTCCTTGGTAGAAAGTCCCTGGGACAGCAGAGACACAGCCTACATTAAACAATCCGGGATCAATTTCGCGACGCTGAGCTGCAAAATGTAGAATCAGGCTGCAGCAGACCGTCATGGTCAGAAAGATGTGCATGTTGAGTTGCACAGGTTAATGTCTCCCCGGCTAAAAGTGAGTGGCGATAATATGTAGGAGCCGCTCTACCATTATTCCCCATTGTCGGAGAGGAGGCTGAGCTGTGCTGAGTTGGCAGTGCTAGGTGCAGGAGATTACATTAATATAGGCCACTGTGCCCCTCTCCGAGCGTTCACAGCACTTTGCAATGTGCAGAGTGGAGGAAGGGGTGGGCCTCTCATCTGCGAGGGGCAGCACAGGCCAGCTGGGTAATAACGAGAGGTCCTGCATGCGGCTAATATGAGCTAATCTGTGTCTTCTATGATCTATTCCAATCTAATCTGCCTTCTCTTTCCCATGTAGGCCATTTGTCAATGCATTAACTTGGGACCTGCTAATGAAGTTGACGACAGACAGGCTGCGTTCCTGCCCGGGACTAGTCTGATGTGATTATGCCTTTACAGAAGGCCCCTCACTGGGTCCAGCTCCCGCTCCTCCTGCTCTAGAACACGTGCACAGTCCTATGAATCAGGGTGGAGCATAAGTGAAATGGGCATTCTCATTGGCCAGCTAGAATAGCATGTATACGTTACTGTATAAACAGCAATCTTTGGCTATTTAGGATATTTAAAGGGTAACTCAACGGGAGTCTCGTTCATCCGGCTCTCCAACAATCACTTTGCTGCAGTGATGCACAGGTGGTTTGTAGAGGGACAAAAGCAAGAAGTAAAGAGTTGCTTTTATTTCTCCTTTCAGCCCTGTTCTAGTCTTTGACAACTCCTGATCCAGAGGCGGACTAGGGGGAAAAGTGGCCCGGGAGTTACTGTCAGACCAGCCCACTCAATACACGGTGCGTTGCCCACTCAATGCATTACACGTATCGACCGGTCAGTGGCCTACTTACGTTGTGTCACCAGTCGGTGGTTTCCCCCCAAAAAAAATTTGGATTTGCATTTTCATGCACCGTATACCAGACATCTCTCCTTTTTCTCCCGTTTTGCTGCCGGTTCGTGCTCCAAAACGGCTTTGTGCGAGAAAGTGTTGAGTAGGTTAGGGCGGTGGTGTCAAACTCAATCACAGAGGGGGCCAAAATTAGACAACTGCCACGAATATCACGATGCCCAATACATACGATACCAAAATTCAACACAATGCGGCGATCATGTCTCCCGTGCGTTCCCTCGCTGTGAGCGCGCGCTGGGCTGCCCGCCTCCTTCTCCACCAGAGAAGGCGCGAGTTTTGTCGTGAGTATCTTTTGCAATGACTTTTGGTACCTTTAGCATCAGCTGTGTGACCTATTGACCGGCGGGCCAGTTATAATATCGTATAACATCGTATTTACCCGCGGGCCAGACACCTAAAATGTGAGAATATGAGTCATTCCTCATGTTTTGTGCGTTCTCAAAATAACCACGGATGTAGTGTTGAGGTCCGGGTGTTTCTGGACACACCCCGACCTCCTCATGAAAAGTATGAAGCTTCTGGTTCAAAGTATGTGGATTACGTCCAAATAAATTTTTCTTTGTTATGTATTAATAACTTTTTCTTCTATTTTCTCATGTGATGCAATGCTCGCAAATTTTATTTGCTGCTGAAAAGGCAATATTTGACTCAATTGAATTATTGTTTGAATTATGGCTGTTGGTTGTTTCCGTGCATATATTGAGAGCAACCCCTTTCACATTACAAATTTCATCCATTGTTCTTATAAGATTATACAAATAGATAAGAGCAGCTTGAAAGATTCATAATATAAGGAATTGAATGTTTCATGACTTCAGCTTTGTTGAAAGCTTCACTTTTGGCTTCACGGTATAGAATGTGTTGCTGTTCAAGCACTCTGATCTTCCATGTTTAACGGGAGCAATTACATGACATTTTGATCCTGGGATGTAATAAAGTGTCATTCATGTACAGTATGTCGTTAGTCTGAAGAAACTTGATTGCACGGACACTCTAGGTCTCATTTAATCGCTGGCTCGCTCAAATGCTCTTCCCTTCTTTCATCCCTTTTTCCCCTCCAGCACTCCTCCTCCTTTATTTATCCACTCAGACTCAATCATTCCATTTTTATCTGTGATTCCCTTCCCTCTCCTTGTGAACTCTCCGTCAATCTCTTTTAAGAAAAAATACTGAATCACAGACTGATTTTCTACTCATGCGTCCTTCCACTTCAACGTCCCTCCTTTTCCCCTTCACTCGCATACTTTGCTTACTCACCCATCCATTTTCTCCCTCCCCATTCCTCCCCCCCCCTCTCCCGCCCCCACCTCTCCATCTGTTCTACTTCCACTTGCTTCCTTCATCCATCCTTGTCACTTTGACTTCAGCTTCCTTTTGTATTCCTTTGCCTGCTTACTCCTCTTATCCCTCTGTGATGCTCTCACTCCCTCTAATGATGCACTCTTTCCTCACCTTTCTCTTTTTCCTCCCCCCCCCCCCCCCCCCCCCCCTTTGCTCCAGCTTGCCCCAACATCCCCAGTCTCACATTTATTACTCCCCCTGACTCCCGCTTCTTTCGGTACCCCCCCCCCCCCCCCCTCTACCTCTATGCATTTGTAAATGTCTCTCTGTCTCTCTCTCTCTCTCCTTCCTTCCATTCACTCTGAGCGATGGCTCTATTGATTCTCTCTGTGATGATATTGCCCAAGGACAACCACAGGGCAGAAAACCTCTTTAAACTTCTCCGAGTGCCTGTGTGTACAGTGTGTGTGTGTCTGTGTTCATTGTGTGTGCGACCACAGGCTCGTTTGACTTTTAGGAGTCGTTACTACTCACATGTCAGAAAAAACAGCCTGTGGCCTGTTTGTGTTGGGTAGATGAGTTTGTGTGTGTGATTTCTTGTAGGTGTGCCGACTTTAAGCTCAGTGTCTACAGGTATCATGAGAAGGGGGAGAAGAAGTTGAAAGAAGCGTTGTCCTCTAGCTGTCCCTCATGTTGGGGTGTGGCCATCAGACTCCAACTGGCTTCATGGCCAAACATCAGAATCAGTCCGGGATAATCTCCTCCCCTCCTCTCCGCCTCCCCCGCCTCCCCCCAACCCTACTCTTCAGGCTCTTGGAGAGCAGCCGGCACTGTTGGCTTGAACAACAGGTGGACGACTGCCGTCGCAGATGCAGATGCTTCAAAAGTAGCCACATTGCTATACGCGCTTTCTGCAATCTGTTTTAATCGCAGGCGGGCGCGCACAGATACACACAAGAACCGAGATGGGGTACTTATCTAGACCCTCAGACACACACACACACACACATGCGCAATCAGATCATAAGAGATACCAAGAGAGGGAATAAACTGATAGCAGAGACTGCAAACTTTGTCTTTTTTTGCACCCTCGGTGTACATTTATTAAGTTACTGACATTCAGACCCGCACAGCAGATATTTATTCAATTCACTAAAAATGAACCTGCTGTGGTTGCTATTGTAGAAATTCCGCCTTACGTGCAGCTATCCCGCATTAGTACTGCAGGATTGCTACAAGGAAGCAATTTATTTTGGTTACAGCATTGGCCCCGTAAGTAGAGCAGTCAAAATGTGTCTCCCCTACTTCTTCTGTCCCCAGGGGCTGCATTTAATACAGTTATGTAATGTTGAGCTGTGTAAGTAACTGTCCAAAACCCCTGAAAACCATTGAAAACAACCACAAATAAGATGAATAAGCTCAAAAGAATTAGAATCATTTGAAAAGTAATGCAGAAAAGTACACGGTGAAAGAAAATGTGTTTTCGCATCACAAAATCAGTTGTCCCTGGTGAGTCCCAAATTACCTGGAAATATTTCGCTTTATTTTCCCCTAAAAGCATCTGGACAACAACATTTGAATCACTTGTTAGGAGATACGTTTCCTCTTTCTTTAATACATACACCCACACTCCATTTTTAGAGTCTTGGGGGGAGACGGACACAGTTTTGACCACTGAGAGTCTCATAAAGCTTCTAGTTAGATGCAATCGCCGGTTCTGAAAAGTGAAAAAAGAGTGCAGTGAAACTGTGAATCCTTTGGTTTTTAAGAAGCCGGATTGTACAGAAGTCTATGGGAAAATGACTTCTTCTACTTCTAAATTATAGTAGCTCAAAAAAACATTGAACATGAGTTTATGGTCTCAATCAATCATCTCAATCGCTATTTTCTAGTCTTCTTGACAAAAGCTGATGTTCAGATTGTAACTTATGCTCCCATTTAGAGCAAATCAGACCATAAAGCAGGTAATGATTTAGTGGCTGCTGAGGGTCACTTTAACCTGATTTCAGAAATTTGACATATTTCAGATTTGGGTCCCATTTGGTTGAACTTGTAACTACGTTCTCCTGTGTGTACGGTCCAAAAAAATAAAAGAACCAAAAATGCCAAACTTCAAAATGTCCAAAATCAGAGTGGGTGACGTCTTTGAGACCAACTTTTTGAACTAAAATGCAATTTTTCTTTTTACTGTTTCAAAGTGTTGAGTACAATATTATTCACCGACTCACTGAGTTGTCCTGAGGCAACCAGCGCGTTATTCTTTAGTCATTATTTAACAATACCTTCCGTCCATAATGATGCATGGTTGTGTTTTTTGTAACTCCATTAACATTAGCGGATGACCTTTTCGTACACTCCACACCTCAGGTGCTGACAACTTTCCTGCTTGTATGACAAATTGAAACATTTCTAAGTAGGAAGGCAGGCGCAACTGTTGAGATTGCATACTTATGATGGCGGGTGATATACAGTAGTAGGGGGTTACGGGATGAAGGTCTGCTTTGCGTTGAGCTGGAAAGAAAACAAGGGCGACCCGAGTCATGTTTAATTCGTAACACCTCCTGAGACATGTTGTACAATAATTGCTCTGATCTGCAGGCGGTTTGGCTATTTATCCAGGGTAAGATAACATAGTGTGAGGTCTAATGGAGTAAAGCAGAGAGAAAAATGTGTTAGAAAAGGAAAACCCTAAATCTTTACCTGTTCACGCTGTGTCTGGCCCGCGTCCACACGCCCGCATTCACACTCGCCCGGCTAATGGTGTTCGCTCACACGCAAAGATTCTGTCGCGCACATATGGCCAGGTGGGCCTGCAAAGCTGTGCATGCGTATACACTCTCCCCTTTCTAAGCCAATAATACAAAGTGAGAGCATGCGTAAATTCCTGTCGGAGGCAGCAGCTTGTCTGGTGAAGGTCAGAGCGCAGTTCCTCAGCCAGCCCGCCGTTTGACAGATCCTCGCTTCCTCCACCTGCATCTGTGCATGGACCGCTCCTTCCTGTTCGCATTTTTATTTATTGCTCCTGCTTCTGTCCATTCCCCCCTTGCAGCTTCCCTTTCATTCATTCACCTCTCAATTTCCTCCTCTTCCCTGCCTTTAAGTTCACCTCCATCCACTTCCTCTGTGCTATTCTTCGTTCGTATTCGGAAGGTGTTTGAACCGGAACTTCCTTTGCTTTTGCGGCTATGTGACTCTCTCCTCGGTCTCCACTCTCCTTTTAAAGCTTCTCTTTGATCTGTAGCCAGCTTCTCCTCACTTGTCTCGCCCCTCTCCTTGTAGACCCCCCCCCCGTCTTCCTCTTCTTCTGTCACCTTCTCCGTCTGTGTCACAACCAGAATAGTGAAAGTTTAACACAAACATGTTTGAGTAGCAAATGTAAAGGCTTTTCTTCCACTAATACCATCGCATCACCACCGCTGTCCCCTTTCATGGGTGCTGTGTGTGTGTGTGTGTGTCTATCAGACGCAGAGCTAATTGAGGTCATTGGTGGTGCACACGCCAAAGCAGGGAGACGGCAAAAAAAAAAGAAAAAGAAGAAAAAAAGCCCAAAGCTTTGAACCTTCTCTCTGCTCAGCACACTGCCCAAAAGTCCCCCGCTCGCTCTGTCTCATCACGCACTAATAACACACAAACGCACACACGGGAAGGCACACACGTTTAATTTGTGACCAAACAGAGGCTTCTAATCCTCGGATTTGAGGGAAGCTGTGCATGTGTGGCCGTCTTTGTAAATGAATCGAGGGTTTGTAAGGTACTCCTATGAGGTGTGCACTAGAAATGAAAATAAATCTGACAACGCTGCGTCCTCTTTTAACCTGGGGGAGTTTCTGTCCTTCTGTTGGTGTCTATAACCACACACACACACACACACACACATGGCAAATAAAAGCTCACCACCCCACCACATTGCTCTAGGGACAGCTGATGGGGACTGATAACGCACTGAGATGGAAGAATATACCAAACGGTCTGTGTTCATTTGAAGACCGGCGCTTCCATTCGACCCTCAGAAGTCCAGAGAAAATCTCCCGGGACAATTGTCCAAAGCCAAGCAACATGTCGGGAGACACACACACAGCAAGAGCTCTGTACACAAATGGCACTCAAGGATTTCAGTACTTTGCAGTGGAGCTACAGGAAATTTTAGTCAAACACTAAAAGCAGCAGAATGAGAGGAGAGCACGTGGTACCTGAGTTGAACCAACACCCCGGGGTGCTGTTCCCACGTCACTCCATTTACTTGTTTTCCTCTTAAAGTTACAGCCCGCCTTCCAAACACATTCATGTTTTGGTTTTCCCTTCACAACACTTGTCAGATATGAAGGCGGCAGCGTCGTGCTTTTAATTTTTCAGCTTTTTTTTTTCTACCGTGGTTTTTTTCGTGCATCGTAAACCTTTTTCAACCTGCTTCGGGCAGCAGCCCCGTATTTATTTAATAGAGTCGCAAAATATTTGGGAACGTTTTGATTAATCAAAAGTGAAATGATGCAAACAGCTGAATGTGACAGAAAGTTTCCCCAAAGTAATCTCTGTCTTCACTCATGTTCACTCATCTTCCCTTCATCACCACTCTGATCAGATTTTTCTTAAGGTGATGCTGCCAGGAATCATACTTACTTACGCATCAGGGACAGGAGCTTGTACCTTTGTGATTGATTCATGCAAAGTGCCTGAAATTACTCCTCACGCTTAACTCTGTTATAGACCTGCCAATAAAGAATAACGGAATTAGTTTCATCTGCGAGCTCCAATCTCCATGCATCTCCTGTATAAGACAATTTAGATCATCGATTAGCAGTGTGCGCGAGCGAGACAACGCATGAGGAGCACGGCACCGCAGGACGAATGGCAGCGTAAAATGCCGTGGCCGCGGGCACGAGGTGCCGCCAAACACCGTGACCGCCGCCATCCGTCACACAGACAAGGCATTAATTACAACCATTCACATTATGTCATAGACCCGCAAGCAATGAACACGGATCTCACGGGAGGAAACAAATTGACCAACACTCGCCACACATGACCAGCACAAACGCATCACGCTGACTTCTGAGATACATAACGAGACTCGCTCATGTCGGCCGTGACTACGGTCCACATGGAAGCCGTGGTCAAGATCTTTAAAAAACAGATGTTGGGCTGTTATTGGTGATATAATATTCCTCACATCGTCGCTATCGACATGCTACAATGAAGCAATAATCAATTTCCAGGCATCAGGCCAGCTGGAAGATGTTTATGATGTATTTTGACCACCACACTGAGAGACGGAATAATGGCCCGCTGGGTGCGTCTGCTTCCCACTGTGAACGGAGCCTTGTATTGATCTGCTGGAGTGAACTCACTCTGTCAGACAATCAGGGAAATACGGATCCCGATGGATAAAAGTTGCTTCTAATGAGAAACGTGATTCCATCACGTTAGATCTAATTTGGAAATCCTGTTCGTTGTTTTGTTTGGTTTCCTGTATTGACTGATTCAGAGGCCTTTATATAAACGCTGTGGAGGTGTCTGATACAACCCATCCAGCTATTGACTTGTGTGCATTGAAAAGTTCTTTATATTTCATTCATGAGCCCCCCTTCCGCCTCCATGCCGGACCGATTCACAGCCGGAGTTAAAGGGAATCAATAATCTTGCCACGGAAATACTTACATCAAAGACAGAAATTTCTCCAACTGTAAAAAATGTAAAGTAGATGTCAGACTGACGTGAACTCTAATTATTTTGCAGCAATCCAATGAATTCCTGCAGATCAGAAATAGTTACAGCCATTGGCTTCATGCAGACATGCATTTTCACTATTAGAGACTCATGTTGTGTGTGCTTAACCCTATTGGGTGTTATGCTTTGAGGACACTACAGTAGATATTATTCATGCACAGTGTTATAAAAGTCTGCAGTTTCGGGGCGATTTAGTTACTGTTTAGCCAGCAGGGACGTTAGCTCGGCCCTCGTAACGCCTTGATAACGGTCCCTCCAGGATGAGGACACTTGAGTCTTGGGTGATAAATTATCTGAAAATACAAGGAACAACATTTACAAGTGTGTTGTAAACAGCTTTTACGCAAGATCCGATTGTCACGCAATACATAAAGGGGAAACTATAAATCATGTAAAAGCCATATCATTTCCCAACGACCTTGCTTCCTCCCTTTCTTTTGCGGCCCGTGCTCTCGATTGCACGATGAATACCTCTCCTCTCCCCTCTTCAAGTAGAACAGAGAACTAACTCATCTCCTGAAATCCCCCCTTATTTTGACATTTTGAGGAGGAGTGCATGGACTGCTGAGAGGTAATGAGATGATGGATGCTCTGATTTCTGATCGGTTTTAAGTGCTGAGCGTGTATTTCTTCGCATCTAGTAGTGAGGTTGCAGATTGTAACGCGTGCAAAATAAAATGACAGTAGTACGGTAGGTATGCCCACGCAGTAGATTTCAGGATACTCGAACTGCCATAATATAATTTAGCTGTATGTCCATATCTCGGTGAAGGTGCAGTATATAGGATTGACCCCTGGATGTGGGAAGGATTTGTAATACAGAGCTGAGATAAAGCCGATCCCAGGCCAATGGATCCCTCTGCATATAAACGGTCCACATCAGCACCACTGACAAAAAACACACACAGCGCTCTTGCATATGCTGGCATACAATGCATGTCGAATCACATATGTGCACACACCCAAACATGTGCATACTGCATCATATTGAAATGAAGGGATGCAGCCTTCCATATATGGACAGCACACACACACACACACACACACACAGGCATGCAGGGCTAAGCAGCTGATGACCCTCGGCTAGCTTCTCTTATCACTTTAAGCCGGTCCTGGCTTAAGGATAAGCAAACGGAAACCACCGGAACTGACACTTTGGGTAGATTTAGGAAAGAAAAACTGTAATGTACAATTTCCGCAGCCATAAATTATTTACTCTGCTATGTCACAAACCTATAATAGAGTTGCCTCGTGAACACAAAGTGGGAGGATTTTGAGATTTGAGTATGTGGATTGGCCATGATGTTTGCACGGGTTATCATATTTAAATATATAGTGAATTGCACCCGGTGAGGGGATGTGGAGTATTTTTCCTCAAAATGACACTTTTTATTACAACACGCTGAAAAGAAAGTTGTCGAGGGTCTCTTTTGCCCTTGAGGTTTTACATCTTACATTTCTGTATTAGACAGATCAGTCAGTGGATTGAATCAGGGGAGTAAAAACTCAAATTTCCCAGCCACTTAAATCCCACAGAGGCAGAACTTGCCAAAGCGCCGCAGTCATTTCAGCAGCTGGTGGTTAACTGGCAAATCCTTTTTTCTTAGGCTTAGGGCCGCCGAGCGAGCGGAGTGGCGGTGCCACGGCGCCGCGTCTTTGAGCTATTCAAAACACACAAATACACACGACTGTACGGAGGGAACGGCCTCTAGAGGCGGCCGGCTCTTGTTCACGTGTGTCCCCGTGTCCACGTAGTACTGCACGTGAATGCACTTGTGTGAACACGCGTGTCTGCATAATGTGCGTACACACCCACCGAAGTGGCGCTTCTGTGTGACACTCCAGCGCCATTGCCTGGCGCCTGGCTCGGGGCTGATAAGGACGCGATCCTCTCCAGACTTAAATGCCTTGAAAATTGAAGGGACAATAAGTGCTGTGTTGTTTTACGATCAATAAAGTCGCTGCAGCACAGTTGAAACAAAGATCCCTAAAATTGAATTAGCATGATGACGGGTCCGTTGTTGTCGCATGGGGCCACTCTAGCGAGTGCCTTTGTAACAGGTTTGCCAAGAAAGAATGTCGGTGTTCTTAGTGAGTCTTGTATTTATCACTGCCGCGGAGTTATGTGCTTTGAACTGACAGGTTGATGCTTGATTTATCCACGCTGAGCCTGAATATCCAACATTAATCTCCAGTGTTGGACAGTCCCCCATGTCTCATTAATTGTCAGCAAAGGCCACCTTCCCCGCGCGCTTTTATAACAGAGGAGCAGCTAATATCGCCGCGGCTGCTTTCTGCGGTTCTGTAAACAACAGGCCCCATTTGTCATCGCAGTTGTACTCCATCAGATACCAATCCATCTCCCCTTCCTGAAATACCAACTGGTTCTCTCTATTTCACCAAGCATCATGTGAGGGTGCCTTTCTCTTTCTCCTCCACATCCGTCCTTTGCTCCCCTCCACGTTAACTTCTTTTGTCTCCCCACGATCCTCGCTGGCCGAGTTCAAGCGGTGAATTAGTAAAGTCCTTGAGAAACCCTGAATCAGACTGATTTGGTGTCGGCTGCGTGGCCCTCCATGTTCTCCCCATGTCTGCGTGGGTTCTCTCCGGGTTCTCCGGG